CTGTGTTTTTCTGAGCTCACAAAAAGTTGACTTTATAGAGATTTGTGGTTCTCACGGGATGGCGAAGCTACAAACGTATGATGATTTTAGCAAATATGATTCACTGCTGTAGATTACCAGTACAGTAAAGAAGTTAAAATGAGCACAACCCGAAGTAAGGTTTTGAATAAAGGACGTTCACAGTGTGTATTAGTACTTTTACTGAAGTGATGGATCTGAATACTTATTCCACCACTGATTTTGACACAAATTTATATTGTCAAAGACGTTGGATCTGCATTTCATTAGTCAACAGCAGTGACACTTTTATTGTCCCCAGGTGCTTTTATTGAAGATGTTGGAGTATGAAATTGACATTACAATTTACAATAAAGCTCATTGTAAGTAGGGAAAATGTATTTATTATGTTTCCATTACATTAATTGTTAAACTTTGTTCGTTGCTGCCATATTTGAGTGTCTAAATAGCCTTTTTTTCCCTTAAATTGCGTCTTCTTTCATATAAATTGCTCATACGATATGATTTGGAAACGTTTTGCATGTTTTCACTGACTGGCCTGTGGGTCCGGACAGGTGTGGCTCCTCATTTGCACAGTAAATCAACAAAACCAGAGCATACAACAACATGCAAATAAATAACAAATTGGAAAAAAAAAAAAAAAAAAAAGCTTGACCTCTAATTTCCCAGTGTTCCTCAGCACTGATGCTTTAGTGCCATTAAAAAGTGATGCAGAAGGGTTTTATTTCTGCAGTAGGAAGGTGTTGCCCTGACCACTCTTTTAGACATTTATTTGCTCTCTGAATGACCCGTGTAAATTAATCTGTCTTTAATGGAGGTTTTTGTGTACACTGGACTTCAATAGCTCCAGAGGACTTATTCAATCACCCGCTGCACCTGTTCAGTTAAGTATATACTTAAATGGGACTGCACTGTTTGCTCAGTTGTTGAACACTTGACCATTGAAAGCCTATAGTACAGCGCTCAAGTACAAAAAGCCTAAACCCTTTATTACAGCATTTTGGGCCCCAAACTGGAACTCAGGATTTTACTTGCCACTGAAACCAGGTGTTTCACAGTCAAAACACAGTCAGACGGCTAATCAGGAATGACAAAGTGAGGAAGGGAAGGTTACTATGTCTCTAGTGTCAAAGGCTTTGGCCTATTTTCTCACAGCAGCCAGCTATTAGTCTGTGGCCGTGTGATCTGTGATTAGAGAGCAAGTCTTGTGGTTGGAGCTCTTTGGAAGAAGTCACAAGCTTTTAGGACTCATGCCCTGTCCTTATTGATAATTACCACAACAGACACTGGAAATGCCAAGGTTTAATCCAGAGCCAAGAGCTGGAGGAAAGGAAATATAGTGCGTAAAAACATGTGAAGCCTCTGCTGCCAGCAGTAAATCAAAGTTGTCTGTCTGCTTTGATAAAGAGTAGTAGATACATGGGGGCATTGGCCAGTTACTCCCCTGTCTGTCTGATATCTTTGACACACCTTTGGCACAGACATACCGGCTATTAAACGCTAAATTGGAATAGTGCATGCACTGTATCTGTACAATCTGTTCTATTCTGCTTTTTAATTTTTACATATGAATGCTCATTGACTTGATATTAGGGTTAGGCGTGTATGTTTTAATGAATTATCCCAAAAGATTTTTATGTCTGCCTTCGATGAGCCAGCCACTTCCCACATCTGTACCAGTTTGTGTTTCTTATCTCAGAGACAGTGTGTGACCGTTGGACTTTGTTGTGTATTTGGGGGAGATTGTTTGTGGCCGGTTTTATCAGTAGAGTATACGTGTGTGGGTGTGTGCATCTGTGAGTGTGTCTGGTTGGTAAGCACATTTTCTCAGTCACTCAGGTAAAATTTTTAGCTGGAACCCTTCTGGGATTACAATTACTGCCATAAAGGATCAACAGTGTACAGTGGTTAAAATTCATCTGATTAAGCCACACCTTCAGAATCCTGATGATACAGATTTTATTGTTTTCTAACTATATGTTTGAATAAAACTATGTGAAGTCACAGATAATGCTTGTAGGCCCTTCCCCCTTTAAAATCAGATTTTCAGTGAGCACAGAGAAACTTTCCTTTTTGAGCAGATAAATGTGAAAACATCCTTCTAGTGTCAAACTCTGCACAAACATCATTCAAACATCACACTGTAGCAACTAGAGGTAAAACATATTTTTGAAAGGAGAGACTTTAAACTGTAAAATTGTTTAGATGCTTCAAGTACAATTTTTCTTTTTTAATTGTAGCAACGTTACCTTTACTTAGATCATTCATTCAACCTTCATTTAAACAGGGAGGTCCAATGAGTGCAGCTCACTCTCCTTTTAATGGGTGCCCTGTGTACACGCAATGAAAGCAAAGGACAATAATCCAACAGTTAAACAAACATAATTTCATTTCATTTTATGTTGATTCTGGCAGCCCCTGTGGACAAAAGTGGTAGTGCCTCATTTCATTGATTTCAAGGGGAATCTGACCCGGTGGCAGGCATTAAGAATAACTAAATAGAAAATCCAATCTTTACACTGATGGTCTCGTTGGCTTATCTAGGTCATAGAGAGACATCAGTGTTACATTTAGACTGTTTCATAACTAGTTAAAAACTGCTTGTCGTAGGTTTAAGGTTGAAGATAAAAACTGGCCACTTCCCTTAGTTATTACGTCCAAACTAGTTAGTTTATGTTTAAGTAATCGTGGTGCTTAAGTTACAAACTAACTAGTTAGTTACTGAACCTTTAGTGTCGACTTTACACCATAACTTAGGAGAGAACTTACACATAGCCGGTTGCAACCCAGTCCTGTTAACCTGAAACATCTGACCTTACTAACATCTAACCATTACAGGTAGAGGAAAAAATAGTCACGATGACCCGAATACTTTACAACTGGCATGCAGGGTTGCACGTTTGTGCAATAACAACGATCGATCAGCCCCCTCGGTTACATCCCTGTTTGACCATGTGAAGGCCAGTTGACAGTGGCCAGCTTTTTTCACCCCCGTCCTCTTATCGACCTGTTAGCCTCTCCTAGCCTCTAGTGCTAATGTTACATTACATAATGCCTCTGTTTGCCTTGGAGTGATAACCACTGCCATCCAACTGAAGCCATGTGAACGGTTGAATGGGTTTTGGGCATTGTGCCAAACAATCTAGCCGATCTAATTTTGAGTGCAGGTCACATCTCTTTGCTTTTACTTGAAAGGTTCTTAGTCTGAGGAGAGTCAGATCGAACTTCACAGAGGACAGATGGTTTGACAGGGACCGCCAGAGATTATAACATTAAGTGGAAATATTAGTTTGGTGTGCTTGTGTAGTGGAGAACATCTAGTCTTCACTCTTAATTCAACTTATGAACGAATGGGGGGAAAAGTACCTTTTTGTTTCTGAAAATGTGTCCAACTTAAGCCTCTTTCAGATCTACATCTGAAACTTTGCTTAATCAGACAGGATGCAGTATAAAGGTGACAGAGGAGGGAGAGAAAGGGGATGACATGCAACAAAAGTCCCTGGTCAGACTTAAACCTGGGATGTTGGATTTACATAATTAGCATCTTTTAAAAGGGCATCCTTCTGATTTTACACATGAAGTTCAGTTTACTTACCTGTTTGGGCAACAAGTGTACACCAGAAAGCCTCCATTACAAACTGGGAATGTTTGAAAGATGTGTACATTTATCAGTTGGAGTGGGTCTAAAAAAAGATGCTATTGAGATGCATTATGGAGTAGGATCCAGTGTCTTTTGGAGCTTAACCCGTACTAGGGACTAAAAGTCTGCTTCTTCCATTTGAACAGTTTTTTTTTTCTAAGAGTTTAGACGATTTATTCTATTAATTTATTAGTCAATCAAAAGAAAGGTAATCTGGAATTATTTGCTTGTACCATCAATTGTGAGGGGTTGCAGTTTTTTTTACATTTGACAGTGAATGAAATATCTAAAGACATCACTTTGGACTTTGTGATTTCACTATTGAGAATTCATTGACTAAACGAAACGGGAAAGAAAATAGGAGAATAATCTATAATGAACTATTTGGTTAGTAGCCGTACTTGCAAGTTCCCAGCTTTTTGGAAGTACAATACTAAATTACTGGCCTGTTGTCCTGTACTTCTGATAAATGAATACTTGAACTGTACTTTCATTTCCATCAGTAACTTTGGGGCAACTTAGTACTGCACAGTGGAGCCACTCAAAGACACTCATGCTGTTTTTAATTGATTTTATTCCCTGTTTGATGTTTTTATAAGCTGTCTTTGCCCGATAGAAAGAACTTTGCAACTCTTGTGTTTGAAATTTGCCAAGCAAAAAAAAACTTGCCTTGCCTTGGAAATACTTCCATCAGACCTTCTAGGAATTGACATTTATAGCTAAGGAGAGAGCTACAAAAGAGATGAATGTAATGTGTTTTTATTAGCTACAAATTTAGTGAAAAAAGAGACATCTGACAAAGTAGGTTATTCATTATTGAGCAACAAGGGTGAAAAGGAGCGTCTTTTCCTTCTCCTTAAAGATCGAGCAAGGAATTCTGATTGAGCAAACACTGTGGAGGAGTGACGAGAGGGAGCGGCGCTCAGAGATTACCTGCTGCTCGCTCTCTCTCTCTCTCCCTCTCTCTCTCCCTCCTTATAGTCACCTCCCTCTAAGGGAGTGTACACACACACACACACACACACACTCTTGCGCTCTCCTCCTGCCTGTTCACACACGCGCTCGGCTTCATGCTGCACACACACACACTGTCTCCTCTGACCGTCTGTGTGGACTGTGCACATCAAAGAAGAAGCTTAGTTAGGACTCTGCACGGACAGCATAGGAAGATTTTGGACTGTGTGTGTGTGTGTGTGTGTTGCTGTATGTGTGTGTGTGGGTGTGTGGGTGTGTGTGTAGAAGCAGTGCTGACCCATGTGTTTGAGATAAAGCAAGACAAGTGACTTTTTTTTTCTTTTTTTTTTTTTTTTATTATTTTTTTTGTTTTTGGCTTGCCACTCAGACAACAGATCCATCTCTGTATCACTCAAGGACCCACTACTCCTTCTTCTTGTGCCAGTGACGACTCACTTGTCAGGGTGAGTGCTGCTCAACTCTCAGTTTGACTTTCTCACACTCCCTCCTGCTCACTTGCACGCTTTTTTCCTTCTCTTCCGTGTTGTCTCTCTCTTGATCTCTTTCATGTCCTGCTCTCTCGGATCTGTCTCTGCAATTTGACATTCTATTATTGATCTTTTACTCTTTAGACCTCTGTCCACAACTGTGTGTCTCTGTGTGTGTGTGTGTGTGTGTGTGTGTGTGTGTGTGTGTGTGTGTGTGTGTGTGTGTGTGTGTGTGTGTGTGTGCGCGCTCACTTTTCCCCCTGGGCATTCAAAGTCTGTGCATGTGCATGAGACAGGCTTGAACAAGATGAAACAAAAATCTTTCCTAACAGAAGCCTTGCCTGCATCTGTGCATATTTGACAAACTATTTCTATAAAAACTTTCCATGCACAGGACAGATTTATCTGACAGCAGACTTGTACTCCTTTTCAGTTAATTATCCTATTGCTCAAACTTGGACAAGTAGCCACTCATTCGCTGCCATAAGCGTGGAAGTATTTTCTATTTTTACAAAAAAAAAAGTAAATATGAAACTGAAGCTGTTCCACGACAGTGAAAATGACATCATCCACCATCCCAGTCAAGTCATCTCTACCCACAGATGGCTATTTATGGTGGTGTCCACCCTTCAAAACACTACCATTCACTGAAATATGCGCCTTGTGGTTTGAATTGCAGTCTGTTTGAGGTCTTTTCATTAAGCCTGGTATCCTGTTTCTCACGTCAAGGTTTATGAACCTATAAGCGTGCAGTGGTTTTCATCCCAGCTGTGGAAGCGAAGGCTAGAGCTCGAACCTCAATACTTCTTCAATACGGACCAAACTGTGTGTGTAGCCTCCAGTGAAGTTGTCATTGAATGCTTCGTCAGATTATTAGGCTTCTTTACTTTTCCTTTGTTGAAGTTTTACATTTAAATGAGGAAATATTTGATCAAAGTTCAATATTTAAAGGACCAATGTGTCAGTGGCAGAGAGTTGCAGTTTGCAACTCCCTCACTTCACCTTCCCCTTTCAAGCACATAGGAGAGAATATGGTGGCCACGAAACATGACAGGTTTGTCCGTTCTAGGCTACTGTAGAGTGGGTAAAAATTGAAAAAAAGGGTTAAACACATTTATATTCCAATCATTACAGTATTGAAAAAAGTATTGTTTGGTACTTGTACAACTCTCTGGTTTCATACCGATGTACAAACACACAGCCTCACTGTGTGTGTTTTAGTATCTGTTTACATTGAGGCTTTTTGTGCATAAGTGAATCCGTGATTTGTATCTTATTGTTTTGCAAATTACATTTGCATGTTCTTTAATAGCTAATGGACAATTATGTACTCTCGTCAATGATTTAATGTGATACCTGCCTCCCTGAAGCTTCAAGAGATGGCTGTGTTTTGTTTTGATTTCTGATTCATCTTTACAACCTTCACACATCAAATCACCACAAATTCCAGTTCATTACATTTGGGTCTTATTTTAACAGGTTTAGTGGTTACGTCCATCAATAATAATAATAACAGCACAAGTTAATTGCTGAGATCTGAGAATGTTGCTAGAAACAAGTCAGACTTTGCAAGAAACACATGCAGTCAGATAATTAAAGCAAAAGGTAACGATTATTATACAAACTCTCTGGTGTAAACAGCCATCACAGTTTACACACCCACTCTCTTCAGACAGTTTTAAACAGTGTTTGATTTTATTGCAAAAAAAATCTGGCATTTTAGGGAGCAACAATCCCCCCAAAAAGTCAGTGAAATCCTGGAGGGACTGCCTAGAATATATTAGTGTCTTATTTTGTCTTTGAAATAGGCTGAAGGAAAAAAATATTTGTAATACTTAGTTTATCATACTGACCGTGGCATACAGATTCACATAGTCTGCCGAGGGACAGAGAAAATCAGTACGAACCTGATTAGGAACTCATTGGTTTTCCAAAACAACCCAATTTTTGTCTATGATTCTGAAGACAATGTAAGTCCCCAAAGTATTTTCCATCCATAAACTAAATTACTTTCATTCATATTATCCACACCCTGCCCGCGAGACTCCTGTGTATGTTAATGATTAATTCACTTTTGTCTCTTCTTGAATTCCTACAGAAGTAAAACCGCCTCCTAGAATAACTATTGTGAGCTAATCTGAAGATCTGAATGTACAAACGTGGATGCCAGAGATTCCAAAAACGAGATTGTTACACTAAACCAATGCACAGAACAGAAACTAAGATCTGTTTTTATGTTTGCACGGGTGTGTGCATGATTGTGTGGATATCTGCACGGACACACCTTCTCGTATAGTAGATGTCATACCAAGTTATTCACCCATAGTTTGTGTTTCAGAACTCCTTAGATATCATTTATAAATGCATGCACAAAGCTAAAAGATTCTCCAGGTAAACACTCTGTCACACAGCCTGTCTTGTCCTTTCATACTCATTCACATGTGCACTCTGAAGCAATGAAGCGGCTATTGGATTACCATTGTGGCTGTTATCCTATTACAAGACAGAGGTTGTAAGCTGTCATCTGTGTATGATAGCAGACAGTCTAAACCACGGGAAGTGTGTCTCACCCACTCAGACACACACACACACACACACACACACACACACAGACACACGCACACAATCAGTATGTGTACACACATACGGTTCCACATACTGACGTGACATGTGTTCACACCTGTACATTCCTCGTCTTGAATTTCACTCAGAGCGTTTACAAAACATTACATCCATCCTGTCTACAGATTGAGAAGGCAGGGCTGGCTCATGCTTTGGTTTTTATAAGTAGTGAGTTTTTGGATTAGGTTTGGGGTTGGGAGGTCATCATTGTTAGTACAGGAGAAGATTGGTTAGAGGTAACAAGGCAGATCGGTGAGAGCGCCATAAGGATGAGCAGATTGTGAATTTGAATTATCTTTCTGCTGATAGCTTTAGGCCCAATGCTGCTTAAGTAACCGATATCTTGACACCAGCAAGTAAACTTTGAACCCCCCCTCCTCCAGAACCGAGCCTTGGCAAGGAGTGCCTGCTAGTGTATGCGTTTATGAGTTATGAGGTGCTAAAAAGACAGCCTGCAGGTGAGGAATAGGTGAATACGTATGTTTTGCACATCTATATACAAGTACAGACCCACACAAGAACTCTGGCTGAGCAAACCAGATGTACAGTATATCTTTTTTTAAAGTCATATCTGTGTTTTCAGTTTAGTTTTATGACTGTTTTTACAGCCCCCTTATTGCGGTTACTGCTGTGACTCACTGGTCACGGACTAAAATAAATTTCCCTCTGACAAAAAAGGACTGCATCTCCTTTTTTTATTTATTTTGCCAGACATAAAGGCTGTCTAAGAAGTCTTGTGAATAAAACAGTTTTTCTGCTGTCAGTAAACGTGCCCGAGTGTCTTTTTGATCAGCAAGAAGCCGGTGTAAAAATAGCCAGAATAGTGTTTTCGTCATCAGTTCTGTGAGGAGCCGAGACAGGCCGCCCACCATGCAGCCTGCTGTGTACCTGCTGCAAGACACAGCTGAAAGGGAGCTGCCACTGGCCTGATTACAACCTGCTTTAGATGTGACAAGATGTCTTAACTTTCTGCCCTGGAAGGCTCTCCCTCCAGTCTTGTAAGCCTCAGCAACATATGAATGCTGATTATATGAACCCAGATGTGCTCCAGTTTGTAAGTACATGTAGCTTACTGAGCATCGCATTCAGTCCCTTTTTAGCAAAAATGTGCACCGACTGCTTAATGCTTTCAGAATTTGGTGTCAAATGTAGGAATTTAAAGCAACCGTTGTTTTATCTCAGTGAGGTCAGTCATTGATTCCTCTCATGCCTTTATGAGTGTCAGCCTCATATGCTGTTTGACATGTTCAAGGTCCTATGAGGAAGTTACCCTTTTAAATATTGGTTTTGTTATTACAGAGCAGAGCAGATGTCACAAAGGGGTGATAATGATCAAGAATGTGTTGTGGGTGGTATGCATTGCAACATGCATTATCAGAGACGTTTGCGTTGACTACAGCAAACCATTACATGGGAATGCATGTCAGTAAGTCCAAAGTATGTGTGAAGAGGTACATCACCCTGTGTAGATCTGAAACAATTGATTCAGTAATATTGATCGAATAATTGATTGACACAAAATTAAATGGCAGCTATTTTGCTAATTGTTTGTTTGAATCACGCCAGATAAAAATGGGATGAATCCTAATGACTTTGGTGATCTACTGACTTTCCTTCTAGCGCCACCGTGAGGTTGATATTTGTGGTTTTCAGTACCGATAATGGGTTGTCCAATGGCTGACGCTAACATCGTTCCACAGCAGCCACACTGACGAGACTGCCTGCAAATGTGTCTCAAGACATTACTCTTACTTAATACTTGTTTTAGGCGAGGTTTCTGAACAGCTATTGGATGGATTACCATTAAATGTTAGCATGCTGACGTTAGTATTTAGCTTAAAGTCCCACTGTGCCTAAGTAGAGCCTCACAGAGCAGCTAGCCTGGCTATAGACTCTTACATTAGACATTAGCCTTTTCCAACTTCTCAAATGTGACAATTTTCTGCTTGTCTTTGTCTATTATGATAGTACACTAAATATCTTTTGATTTTTGACTGTTTGTCAAACTAAACAAACAATCCGAAGGCCTGTTTTTGGGTTCTGTGAAACTGTAGTGGACAATTTTCTGGATTATTTTCTGATTGTTCAAATAGTTCTAATATTAAGCAATAATTCACTGGTTCTATGTTTGTTTGTGCAGTAATTTTGCACACAACTTTTACAGTTCTTTATTGTATTATTTTTAATAGTTTACACTGTTTCTTGTTAGTATTTTGCTTCTTGAGGCAATGCAAGTGTATAAATAGTGCAGGTTCAGCTGCCAGGATGGTCATATACATGTCACTGAGAGCTTCTTTGAGGCATTCAGACTCTTCACCTGAGAAGTTTAATGAAGCTCTTCATCAGGTACATTCCAGTGTGACAGCATGAGGCTCTCTGTGATAGCCTCGGGGTAGAAGCTGAGACGTGAAAGAGTAAACCGAGACACGGAGAGTCATCATCCCCACCTGTGCATTTCTGTTACTCTGAGATTCTCCCTTTTTTTTTTTCTTCTTAAACCTGTTTTTCTCCCGGCAGTTTAAATCCCTGCTCAGCGTTTTTCGAGCCAGCAGTGCTCCGGCCACACCTGCATCATGCTAACCAAATGCTGTTATTTTTACTTCATTCGCTGTGATGTCACTCTGTTTGCATCGTGGTTGTATTTATTTAGCCATCATCTGAAAGGCCAGCGGGGCAGTCCACATAACTCAGGAGAATGATGTCATTGTTGTTAAAGCCGGGAATGGTTTTGGGCTTGTTTCCTCTTCTGTTTTGTTGTCTTGCTTTGCCCTATTTTCATTGCTTCGCTCTCTCTCTGTCTGTGTCTGGACTGCGACTCGATGTAGTTGTTTGGGTCAATTTTTTGTGTTAACATCTCGTCCATCAACCTCCTCCACCCTTAATTCATAAATAATGATCATGCAGCAGGCAGGCAGGGAGCCAGGCAGAATAGCAGAGCAGACATGTTGGCTGGCCAGGCCATGTCCCAGTGGACCAGAGCCACTTATCCCTCAAAATAATGACATATGCATCGACTAGCTTTAAGGAAAGTGGCTAAAAAGAGACATCAAATTTGGGAAGTCTCTCTGTTTTTTTTCCTGTGTATTTATTTACTGTTTTATAATTGACTGAGCAATTGATTTTATTTGCATAATGTCCTAAAAACAGCCTATTTCATACAAACATTATATTATCTGGCTAAGAAATATTAATCCAGGATAACACTGAAAAGTCATAATAATACTGACATTATTAAACAAGCCATCTGTTTGTAATGCAAATATAGTAACAATCATGACTGTAAATGTTGTCATTTACAACACATAATATGGAAAGAATAACCAGTCACTCCATAACTAACCTGTTCTCATACATCTTTAAGCCATAAACAAGGTTTCCACACTTTTAACTTAAAGTCTGTTCCACTTTACAGGATCAATATTTTGGAGACAATTTTTTTGTTCAAACCTGTCCTTAATGTAATCTAAAGAAACAGTTTTCTCAACCTTGATACAAATAATACATTTAAAATGACTCAACTCAAGCGTGGGTTTAAGGATGCAGCATGAGCAGGTGTCCAATGAAAATATATTTTTAGATATGTAACTCTTTATCTTTAGGACACTTTGAAGTACTGACTAAAAGAGGAAGTTATCATCATGCAAAAACACTAGATAATGATGTGTGTTGTTACGTTACCTTAGACGCTCACCAGACACACATTGACCTAAATTACATCCCGTATAATTAATAAATGTCTGTGCCTGAATGCTTATTCTATTACATTGTACGTTTTAACACATTGCACTGACATGACACAAACAACATACTTTTATGTTAAGTGACTGTTACATACCAGCAACTTGTTTCACCATATTTTTATTCATGTGGGACTCAAGAAGAGCAAAGTAATCAGAATTAGAGTAGGTATCAAGTAAAGAAAAAATTCACGTGATTAACAAATATTGGGAATAAAAGTGGGACTAAAATAATACCCTGCGGAACACCGCAAGATATTATTTATTTTTACCTGAGACAAAAAAATATACACAAATATCTATAATTTGCAAAAGAATGTGAGTTCTAAAGGTTCAGTCAAAGGCAGTACCTTTTTATAATTTGTTATAAACAAAACTGTTTCAATAGTTATAGTAGGGTTATAGTTCAGTTAAATTCAAAAGCTTTATTTAAGTCTCGAGCAACCATGATGTTTCCCTCATTTACATTGATGTTGGGAAACGGAGAAACATGCAGAGTTAAAAATACACAATTAGAAACTGAAAGCAGTTGCACACTGAGGTGAAGTGATTTGAGATCATCGTCGTAAGTATGTTGATTATTCAATGCGTTAGGTGGAGAATAAACCTGACTTGAAGCATGAGACAATTATTTTGTTTATACTTGTTAATGTTGTGAAATAGATTAATTACTCTAGCATTCTTATATTACTCAAGGACCAAAACCTTCTGTATAGAGAGATGAATAAAGTAAGTTTCGTAAACGGGAATTTTCATATCACTCAAAAAACTTACATATGCTGGCATGGTAAAAATTTCAGCAACTGAACCAAAACTGCTTAATGTATCTCCCATGTTTGTTTTATTACATGATACTGATGATGGTGTGCATTTAAGCTCTTTAATTTGATCTTAAAGAAATGTAACACAAAGCTCCTGATGCTCAGTAGACAAACACTATCCACAAGAAAGAAAAGACCACACTGCCTTAAAATGTGCACGGTTTTATTATCATGGCTATCCATCTTAGTCTTTTTAAGTCAGTGAATGCTGCTTCTTTTGTTTGCAAAATCAATCACGTCTACCTTTACTCTGCTCTTTTGCTTGGGAGAAAGGAGCAGGAGTATAAAAAGCCCCATCACCATAACTGTGAGAGATGATTCTCCTTGAATGACCTCCTCTTCCCTCCCTCCCTCCCTCTCTCCTCTCTCAGATGACATGGCGTCCTCAGTACCGCAGCTCCAAGTTCCGCCACGTGTTTGGTAAGGCCGCCACCAAGGAGAGCTGCTATGATGGTGTGCCAATCACACGCAGCGTCCAGGACAACAACTTCTGTGCTGTCAACCCACGTTTCCTGGCAGTCATCACTGAGTGTGCCGGGGGAGGGGCCTTCCTGGTCCTGTCTGTCCATCATGTGAGTATCTCAACCTCATGGCAGACTTATGTCAGCTTTTTAAAGTGACATACGCACCATTTTACCCAAAATCCTGATGATGAATACTGTGATATGTTTCGTTAATATGTACTCTGAAGGGAGACATTTATCTTGCTACAAGGGGAAATAAGAACAGTGTGAGAATAGCTCGATCTAGGCCTCTGAATCTCCACTTTTCAAGCAGTTTAATTAGCCCTGATGTTGTGTACACAGATCAGTTACAATGTAAGGAAGTCCCATACAGCAGCTCTGCCAGATAGATGGATAGAACAAATCAGGCAGAAGCAGCAAATAGGTTGTATGAATAGTACTAGAGCACAAAAAAAGTATTCTTTTATAAAGCTTATACCTTTTTTAGGGTTTTTTCACTGTTAGAAAGATGACAATCTGTTATATTTATAAATTAAGTTATATTTCTGTTATGTTTACTAGTGGGTGGTGTGGACTGAATTTTATTGCAAGGTGCATTAATAAAAAACTTCAAGATCCCCTCCAGACATATTAAAACATATATACAAATAGTCTGTTTGGGACAATAATGTCTGTTGACACAAAAAAGTATAATTTTCACATTAAAAGTCATCTTCTTTTACCTCATTCAAAATACCAGAATCTATGAATATGTAAATTTTTGCAAATTTTCCTGCTGGACACAAGATGTCTCCTACTTCTACTGTAAGGTCCATTCTCAGTGTATGTGCACTGGTGGCTTCAAGTTTCTGCATCACACTCATATAAGTTGCATACTGGACCAGGTTTGACTTCCTTCTAGTGTCAAAGCATATTTTTGAGTGGAAAGAGACTTTAACTTCTTACATATACAGTTACATTACAAACAAATAACTACCTAGTTGGCCTCCTATAGTTTTTTTTAAGTGTTACTTTTTCAATCTATGTTGGACAATGTTTCTGCTGACTGTTCAGCATCCTTCATGGTTTGTCTTTGCTCCTGCACACACAGCACACCTGGAAAAGACAGCTCAGCTCTCAGATTATAAATAGGACCGCAGCAGTGGAGCCAAAAGAAATCTCAAGGAAACCCCCCCCGGCAGCTCATTCACTACAACCTAAACATCACATGTGGTCCTTTTTTTTACTCCTCATTATTCTATCTTATCTCCCTCACCAACCTCAGCTTTAACGTGATTAATCAAACTACTCTTCCAGACATTATTTATGCTTATTATCGCATCCACTGGTGTTATCAGGAACAACAGTGATCTCTCAAGTAAACTCAGCCAGACCTCCTCACTTGTGTGCAGGTTGAAATGTACAGTCCTGCTTTATATCGCCGGTCCCTCCTTTCTCCCTCTCTCCATCCGTCTCCATCTTTTAAATCGTCTTGGTGAATTATCACCATCTTCCTGGCATGGGCAGGAATTGCATACAAGCTTAGGAATGACATAACTCATCTTTTGAGCCCCCTCTCCCTCCCTCCCTCCTCTTCCACTCCTTTCAATGTCTTGAGGAGGTGAAACTTCAGCACCCCCACCTCCCATCTTTGTGCTTACAGATGAGCTATTGTTCTGTGGGGGAAAGTAGGTAACACACATAAAATACAAGAACAGAAGGGCTATGTCCTAGTTACCTGTGCATGTGTTAGTTAATGTTTACATCATCCCCATGCTCCAAACACACCTTACCTGCACAGTAATTTAGCCTGCAGGTGTGTGTGTGTGTCAGTTGAAGGAAGGTTCTGTTCTTACAAATAGCATAATTAGCAGTCTTGTTGAGGCAGAAAATCTTAAGACTTCTCCCTCCTGTAACAGGGATCACTGAATACCAGGGCGTGTGTCACAGACGTTTTGTGTAATTCCACCTTCAGTCTTAGTCATTTCATGTTAATGTCATGAACACATCAAATGCTTGTCCTGACCTGCATAGATTGACTCTGTCCTGCTGGAGAGTCGGCCTCGGGACAAGTGTCTGTACTTCTACTAAAGGCAAAAATCTGGGGTTGTGGTGCCAGAAAGACGGAGCGGCTAGTAGCGCCTAATGTAGCTTCAAGCCGCTAGTCTAACACAGCTGATTCTCCTACCGAACTGGTAGCGAATCATGTTGCATTGTGGGTAATGTAGGCACCAGGTTTTGACAAGGAAGAGAAATGCATGGTTCTGCAGCACTGACTTTAAAACTGTGTATTTTAGTCGGATAGTGTTGTAGGAGTGCTCTTTTTACAATACATTTAATGAATACAAGTCAGGTGAAAGGGGCTGTTTGAAGTGATGAACCCATGGATAATCTCTGTAGTTCCCCTCAGTCATAGAAGAAATAGTCTAGCATACAACCCCCTTATAAAATGGTGAATTGACATTTTTATACTTCAGTTTTTGCTCAACTTAAACAAACCTGATGTAACGTGTTAATTAGACGTGCTGATAGACAGATTTTGTTACCTTTGGATCAGAGTTATTATACTACATAGTTTTTATTTTGTGTTTTTAGCTTTTGTTTTCAATTCAGTTTAGTTTCAGTTAGTTTCCAGAGTGGTTTTAAGTTTAGTTTAAATTGTTGTAAAAAAAAATAAAGATTTCAGTTAACTGAAATGTTTTTCCACACCTAAGTTTTAGTTTTTAGTTTAGTTTTAGTTAACTATAATAACCTTGCTTTGGACGGAGCTGGACTAGCTGTTTCCCCCTGCATCCAGTCTTTATGCTAGTGGTGTCAATCTCAGCAAGAAAACCAATACACATATACCCCAAATTCCCTTTCAACCCAATAATACTCTATACATGGGTTAATGAATGGGTTCTCTGTTGTAATTCGTTTTATTTTTGTGTGTTTGGCTATCAGACAGGTAAAGTGGACCCTCACCACCCCAGAGTGTCGGGCCACAGAGGAAACGTGTTAGACATCAAGTGGAATCCCTTCAACGACTACTGCATCGCCTCGTGCTCCGAAGACACTACGGTTTGTACACACTAAGTACATTTTCAGAATGCTTCACTGATGTGTTATCATTTTCCCCGGAATATGAGCATGTGGCAGCAGGGAGATAATTTTATTGCCTTGCCGTTTAGCCTTCAAGGAGAACTAGAAGTCATTCCACACATTCCTCAGCTTTGACCTGACTGAGAGGCTCAGAACAAATCCCTGTAAACAGAAAGAGAAAGGAAGAGTCAACAGGCTTTAAGACAAAGTGTGCCTTTGGGCTATGTCATCTATTTTCCATATTCAATAGATGTTGAATTATATTCTGTATGATATTTTTCATAGACTGACTGTTATACTATTATGTATTATATCATTAGATTATCATTACTCATGCAATAAGGATTTTACTGTTGTAGTTGGTTAAGATGGAGCTAAATTTGAACTATTTTGGATATTTTTTGTTGGTTGGTTTATATACATTTTGAAAGAAGTGATAAAGTGACACATTCACAATGCTTGTTTTGTCAAACCAATAGTCCTAAACTCTAAATAATTAGAAATAGATTGAAACAATTCAAACAACTGAGAAACTGGAACCATGAACTGCATGAAAACTTATTACAGTTATCAATATAGTTGCCAAATAATTTTCTGTCAATCGATTAATCAACTAATCATTTTAAGCTGTACTTTGTAGGCAAGAATCTTAAATCATAAAGTAACTACAGCTGTCAAACAACTAGCGTAGAGTACAGTTTACAATATATTCATCTGAACTGTAGTGGAGTAGAACTATAAACTGGCATGTGAAGTACAAGAACTTTACATTTGTACTTTTGTAGTACTTGAGTAAATGTACTTAGTTACATTCCAGCACTGTTCTTGTGTCTGTCTGCAGGTGAAAGTGTGGGAAATCCCTCCTCATGGTGTGCTGAAGAACCTTACAGTACCGTGGAAGGATCTTCAGGGTCACAGCCGCAGAGTGGGCCTCATCGAGTGGCACCCGACTGCTAACAACATCCTCTTCAGTACGGCCTATGACTACCAGGTAACGCAAACACACACACACACACACACACACACACACACACACACACACACACTAACCTTAACACAGCCACACCAAAAAGTACATGCTTACAAAGAAATGTCGAGGACTTAGGGCCTAGGGGGGTGGCAGCTGCCATAACTAAAAAATGCCTTTTTAAATAGTAATGTATGTTTAAGTTCAATGAAAAGAAGATGTATTCATTTCTAATGCCACCTTTAGATATTTCTATTCAATGATGATTGATGATGATGGGCCACAATAATGTAATCTTTTTGTGTTAAAGTATCTTCATTTTGGGTTGCTCCTTATTTTAATATAGAGAAACCGAGTGAGTGAGTGAGTGAGTCTTTTAAATCTAATTTAAAAAAAGATTTTTGAGACTTTTTAGTGGAATTTTGCTTATTTAGCTTGATGAAACACTATCAGTCTGAAAACTTCAATAAGACAATTTCCTACAAATTAATAAATCATAGGTTAACAGACATTAATAGTTACAAATGACATTGCTTTTACCTTGATATCAATAGAAAATGTTAAAGCTGTGACTTCAGCTCTTTATTTAACCCTGCAGGTGATGATCTGGAACCTGGACTGTCCGGAGCAGGTGATAAAGAACCCTGTGCGGACAATCACCCACCACACAGACGTCGTCCTCTCCATGTCTTTCAACACAGACGGCAACCTCCTCGCCACCACCTGCAAGGACAGGAAGGTCCGACTCATGGAGCCACGCTCAGGAAACCTACTGCGGGTAATGCTCCGTCTGTCTGTCTGTCTGTCTGTCTGTCTGTCTGTCTGTCTGTCTGTCTGTCTGTCTTTATCTGTTTTAGAAAATTCTGTGGTTAAAGCTGACAATCCCAGTGCTCTTATTTTGAGAGGCAGTTACTACAGTATACGGGAGGTAATCTAATGTATCACACATCACTGTAAAGAAAAAAGGTGAAAATAAGGTTTAAAATTGTCACATAGATACTGTGTAGCTAAACTATTGTTTTTTTTTTTATTGGTTTTAGGAACTTTGTTGCATAATCGGCTGCTCATTTGCATTTTCTTTTTTCTTTCAAAATTACATTTTCTTACTGGACATCATTTACTTTACACTACAATGAACAATTGTAGTGTAAAGTAACAGACTGATATCCCAATTTTTGGAAACGTGTGGACATAAAATCAGTTAAACTAATAAAAATGCAAATATTTGTCAGTGAATATCAATAATACCCCCCCAAAAAAAAAAAGCCTTAGTTGTAGTATCCCAGCTAATATTGCATAAGTGGGAGTTCCTTTGCTCCTTTTCCCCATCCAGACCCTCATCCAGCACCACACAGCCAAAACTGACACCTCTGGCCTGAGCAGACCCACAGCATAACTTCACAGACCTCTGGGTCACCAGCCAGTGACTCTCACACTTTTTACATAAGTCTGCTCTCACTACCTTCCCCTGCCTCACGTTACATATAAGGAACATTACATCACTATAATGTGTACTGTTCAGCTGTTATTACCAGCAAATTAGTCCTTTTTATATTACTTCCTCTTATACTGTGCATGCCTGATGCTTTGTTTGATGTATGTTGTGTTGTGTGTTTGCAGGAAGCCAACTGCAAGACGCACAAAGCCAGCAAGGTGCTGGTCCTGGGTAACCTGAAGATGCTCTTCACGACAGGCACTTCACGTTGGAATGATCGACAGATCGCTCTGTGGGATCAGGTGAGAGCAACAGCAGAACAGCAGACAGAATTGTGACAAAATAACCTCAAAAGGTCCACTTACTGTGTTTTTCTGTGCTTTCATGCACATTTCCCGGTCTTAATCAGCGAATGGAGCTGGATCAGGTGTCGGTATGTGGAAGTTCAGTCATGTGACACTTCATACACTGACTTGTTATCAGGTGACTGAAGTGTGACACTTTTTTAAGTCAGGTGATGACACCTGAAGCAGCTCCATTCATTAATGAAGAATGAAGACCATGAGATTGCTCTGAAAAAGCTAGAAAGTGGACCTTTGAGTAACCTGTGCTGTTCCCATGATGAAGTATTGTGTTGTAGGTGCTCAATGTTATTTATTTTCTTAATGTTTCGCTGTTGTGAGACAATAAACAAACATTGATATTCCCTGCCTTCTTGTGCTGTCAGAATATTGTAAATATAATTTGCAGTCAATACAGGTTGTATTTACATTAATTAGTTACTGAATATGTTTCCTCTTTTCTTGATTTAACAGCAAAAGATTCATAATACTTTCAAAGAAACTTTTGCCACGACAAAGAAATAGAAAAAAATGCCCTTTATAATTACTACAGCTGAAGGTGATGTGTTCAAATAGCTTGTTGTCATTCGGTCAACAATCCAAAACCCAACATGTTTACTGTCAGATATCACAACAAAGAGCAGCAAATCCTCACAATTGAGGAGTGAATGTTTGATATTTTTTCTTGATTTTTTTTTAAATGATTAATCGATCAATGCGTGAATAAACAAGGTTAAAGATTTGGCACTGTGGCAGAAACAGAGAACATCTGTATTCTGAACTGATTCTGGGCAGCTCAACACAAAAGTCCAGTCTGTTGTTGTCGGGACAACCACTACATTGTGTCTGAGAGACTCTAAAGTTAGATTGAGGAATATTTCTCAGCTATAAATAACCTAATAAACCTAACTAGAGAAGGTTGTTGGGATAAGTTTAACAACAACAAATAGTTGTATACAGAGATGATTGTCAACAACAACAAAATAATAAGAGTAAAGGCCCATTAATGAGCACATTGTCAGTACTAGAGAATTAACAATAACACAAATGAAGTAATGGGCAGCGTATTACATCACCAGCAGAGAGGTCATGAGTCTCGGTGGCCCTGTTTCCTGGCTTACGTCATTAAAGCCTCAAAGCATTAGAGAGTCAGAATAAAAAACACAGAAAGACTCAAAGTCAATAGTGACATAAATGTATAAATAAAGAAGGGAAATATTAAGAGGAAAATTGTGAGAAAGCGTAGAAAAGTTGAATAAACTATGGATAACGATGTTCAACAACTTTGGTTAATCTGTTCCTGCTCCAAATGGCCTCACGTGTCAATCAAACACTTGAACTGTAGAAAAACAAAATAAAAACACACAAAAGCTCTCCCCATCCTGATCTCTAATGACTCCTCACACAGTGTGGGGATCCTCTCACACACACACAACTCCACCATCTAGTGGACAGATTGGAGAACAAGTTAAACCACACGGCAGTAATACCTGAAGAATTCACTGTCACGGTCTGTGTTAGAGCCAGATATAGTCTCTTTTTGATTATGTCGTTGACGAGTACTCTGATCAATCACACCTGTTGGCCTGTAATAACAGTCGCTGTGGCAGACTGGTGTGTTTCTGATGTGTGAGAGTGTATCGTGGGTAGGAGATTATGGCTGAAGCACGGATTAGGGATTGAGCGCTCCAGTGTTTTTAATTCAGCGCTGGAGAGTGCTTCTTATGTAGAAGTGGATTTAAATGAGTGTTTTTGATATCTGGGGTTTTTGTACATGTTACTGGTGCTCAAGTGTTGTTTTTGATCTTTTGTGTGTGTGTTTTGTAGGATGATCTGTCTGTGCCTTTGTTACAAGACAACCTAGATGGTTCGTCAGGGGTCCTTTTTCCTTTCTACGATCCTGACACACACATGCTCTACCTTGCTGGAAAGGTGGGTCTCTAAAAGCAACTAGAAAGTTCATACACACTATACACTTGATATTATTGTTTACAATCAATTCTCTTGTCTCTCTCAGGGTGACGGAAATATTAGGTACTATGAGATCAGCTCAGAAAAACCATATATCCACTACCTAACAGAGTACCGCTCGAACTTACCTCAGAAAGGAATGGGTGAGAAACACACACACGAATACACACACCCACACAATAGTACTAAATACTACTTTTAAATTAAACTCCAGTATATTGGATGTTTTTCATTTAACCATTTCCTTACTTGAATGTGTATAAAATGTGTCAGTTGGTCACAATTTGGAAACTATGCCTCCCTTCTGGCCGGGCTAACTCTCTTGCACCTGTAAGCAAAGCTGCTGTGCAAATAAGCCTTCAATATTTGAATAGCCAAACCAGCTGATGAAAGCGAAGTCGTAACTCATGTGAAGTGACATGCAGCATGAGCTGAAGCCTGAAGGGATTACAGACATGTGCTCATTTTAAACTCAGGACAAGGATAGTGTTAGAAACTATATTTTACTAATAAATTTTTTATGGAACCGAATAGTGGCAGCTCTTTACTATTAATTTACATATATAGATACAGATACAATGCACCCGTTGTTCCACTTGTGTGAAGCGAGCACTTTGTAGTACTCTGACAGACTGCTAGTACTATAAAAAATCAACAGGCAATATATGTATTTATAGATTAGACTCATATTTTCAGTAACGTCCTTTTGCAAAAATATAAGTGTTAAAAGTATACAGAAACTTTAAAAATGGGGTGTCTCCCAACTTCAGAGCAGTCAGATGGTCCAAAAATGTAATAAATCCTTGAGAGGTTAATGTCCAAATTCATTACAAGGGTCTAATGATCAAAAACATCTATTTATTTTAATTTAGGTGGTTGTTAAAAGGTTTAAAAAGCCTATACTTTCTTTACTGCACATCATTCTGAACCTGTGCTAAAGTGTGGGTCCAGTCCTGCACTGTATTGTCCCACACTGGCACATACATATACTGTAAAAGGGCTTTTAAAGTTGTCAAACCATAATGTTATGTTATTTATGGTGATGTTTTGTCTTGTTGTCTTACATTTCTACCTTATCTCTAAAGATGCAGTAGTGCAGCAGAATATGTGTTTCCTGTGTAAAACTGTCTTTGTGTGTGTGTGTGTCTTCCTACAGGTGTGATGCCAAAGAGAGGTCTGGATGTGAGCTCCTGTGAGGTGTTCAGGTTCTACAAACTGGTGACAATCAAGAGTCTCATTGAGCCACTTGCCATGATCGTACCCCGCAGGGTGAGAGTGCATCGACACACAAACCTCAAACACCAAGGCGGATAGGAAAGAAATTTTAGCTCAATAGATAGCAGAGACCCTATATTCTGTGCTCTCTAAATGTACTGTTTGTGTTTCCAGTCGGAGTCCTACCAAGAAGACATCTATCCGATGACGGCTGGTAACAGGCCTGCTTTGACTGCAGAGGAGTGGCTCAGTGGCATTGATAAAGGTCAGATTTAATGTGTCTTTGACATTTTTATATGGTGGCAAGGTGCTGGGGGATTTACAGGTCCTCTCTTATAGAGTGCTACAGAGATAATGTATTATTGTAGGCCAACCCACAAGTTAGCCTCTTGTTACTTGTAATTCAAATCTAACAAGTTGGAAAGTTTTCAAGAGCGCAATTACACACAATGTGGCTTTAAAGGCAGACTAGTAAGTCTGCGTAGTTTTAGCTACTTGTTAGCCGTTCAGTTGACCTGCACATTAACGCACTGTTTTGTTTGGAATTGTACATATCTATGGCGTTAAAAGGTCAACAACAACAAAATAAATGTCAGCAAGTCAGATTTTGGTGTTGATGTTCTGATTTAAATAGGTACTGACTGCATTTTTTTTTTTTTTACCATACTGTAGGTGTATTTTGTTTCACTATTTTAGTTAGTACCTAATCTATTGGTACTTCTTTACCATTGATGGAAAACATAGAGATCCTTTACTTCCAACAAGTGAAACATCTGCATTTAAAGTAAAAGTATACCTGCAAAATTCATGGTAGGACTGATTTGAACTACTTTATATTTCGTCGGGTAGTTTAATTTATAAACTTCGTCTTCTAGGCCCAGTTCTGATGTCTCTGAAGCCTGGAAGTCAAGTAGAACTGTCGTATTCAGAGATGACCAAAGGAATGGGAAACTCGCTGGACTCTCGCAGGTCCCACAGCAGACCGGGCGCGCTACAGTTGACGTACATTCAGGACCAACTGGGAACCAAAGACGGCAGAGAGGACAGCGGCCGTACAGAGGATGACAGGACCAGGACACCCGTCAGCAACGGAGAAGACCTCGCACTTTGCTCTCCCCCTCGGACAGAGAATGAGGTACTGAAGGATTTTAGTGTCGCTACCTGTAGTGTCTGTAAGTCTGTTAGAAATGTGGCGTAATTTTCTGTTTCATTATTGCACTGACCCCGAAAATTACATTCAGTTGTATTCATTAATAACTCAGGCAGAGATTGAACTGTTTTCATTATAAAATGAATAAAGCAAATACTTTAAGCTAACTAAAAATAAAATGAAGACATCACTTCATTAAAATAATAAAATGAAACTGTCAGCAATAAATGAAAATAGGATTTTTTCTTAGTTGCTGTTACACTTAACAAAATCTACAGCAAAACAAAAAAAGATCATAAATAAATAAATGAAAGGTGGCACTACTCTCTCATTACAACCTTTTGATCCATTGACCAGCTGAACACACAACTCTTCCTTTCTCTTGTATGCAGTCTATTCCCCCAGTGTTAATGATTTTTACCGCCACAAATGTGCTGTGGAGGGGGAGTAGTGTTTTTCAAGTCCTGTCAGGCTGATTACAACCCAAACAAGCTCCACCAATCATAGTGTTAAGGCAGCCTCTATGTTGCCTGACCGGCAAAACCAAGGGCAAAAAATGTCCATTTGGATAAGACTGGTGATATTCTATATTTTTGTTATTGTCAATAACTCAGAGCTTCTCTCATTTCGAGTGTGGCAGCTGGAGGAGACAGTTAAGTGAGATTTTAGTGACTAAATCACCCAGAAGCTTAAAGTAGGGGATGACAAAAACAGGATTTGTGGGGGGAAAAAACTGTCTCCCCAATCTCTTGTGGAAATTCACCCTCGATATATTCCAATATATTGTGTATGTTTTTTTGTCCACAGCTGCGTCTGAAGTTCCACAAGCAGCAGGAGGAAATCCGACGGTTGAGGGAGCTCCTCAACCAGAGGGACGTGCGTGTCAAACAGCTGGAGCTGGAGATTAAGAACATCAAAAACACCCAGTCTCAGAGCTCACTTTAAGACTCACCCCCCCCCCACCCCCCGACCTGCAGAGTCACCTCCTCGTGGGAACAATTGCATTACTGTACAAACCCCATTTTCAAACCACCACACTGTTCTTTGGGTCACCTCTTATCCTTTAATGAGCCCCCTCATACTCACTGCACAGAGGTGATTTGAACCTCAACTTTATGTTTTTCTTTCAGTCTGTCAATCCCACACAAGGTGCACATATTCTTTGTTCATGTACATCCACTCAAACACTGAGTCTTACCCAGCTGTAACATGTTTTAAAACTCTGTGCACCTGTTGAACTTTACCATGTTTTCTTTTTTTAATGCTTCTTCACAGCTATGCAAGTTTATTGTAATTTTTAGCTTTTTTAATTCTCTTTGTAGATGAGCGATAAAAGGTTGCGCGTGCCTGCTCTTGACTGAATGATGTGGCTGTCTGCGTGTTGTTTGAAAGTTGTTGCAGAGTAGGCGCAGACATCCTGTGTGATTGTAAGATAACGCTGAATTTATTTTCTATGCTTGGTGATTGTTTTTTGTTTTTTCCCCCCAGAATTGAAACTACTGTAATTGGAGATGCCTGTGGTGTTTTTAATGTATGCGTGCTTGAATGAGAATGATCTAAATGAATGAAAGATATCATGAATCCCCACTGTGTTCATGAGTCCCATTGAGCTGCATTTGTTTTTATTTTTGAATGACTGGAAACTTGGTGGAAAATGTAATCCGTTTCACAGCAGCTATTGTGTAAGCCAATTCTGTAACTGATGCCATGTAGCAGTTTTGATCTTAATTTTTATATTTATTTTGAAAAATAGAGTCAAAGAAAATACCATTTTATCAAATACTTGATTACAGGGTTGTAATTTTTGGAAAATATAGCACGCAAACTGTTAAAGGACAAAAAAAAAAAGCTTTGCTTTTTTTTTCCTGATGTGGAGTCACTGTGAAGAATCTAAAGCCATTGTAGAGCCGGAGTCCTGCTCCACCTCTGGGTTAGCTTGTGATCCGCTAGCTTTTAGTTCTCAATGCATTTTCCTTAACAAGGTGTCTTTTATGGCTCTCTGTAAAAACCTGAAACATGACACTGGGATTTCTGTTTGTATTTTATCTGCTACTGTAGTTGACTGTAAAACATAAGCATCTCGCAGCTCTGATGAGTGATAGTCTGAGTTATGATGATATATATATATATTAGATATATGACAGATATTTGTCTACTGTCAGAGCCATATCTTTTATACCATGGTCGCCACTTCACCACATCACATAACTTGTCTGTTCGGGAGCTTTGAACAATCTTTACCAGCAGATGAAGTTTGTAAGTAAGTGGACCTTGAGTAGAGAATGGTTTTTGTCAAATGTTGTTTCAAAGGGCAACATTCAATTGTCAAGCTAAATTTTAAGCCAACAAGGAGAAGAGGTCCTGTAGCAACACATTGTGTCATAACACCACATTATGTTCTAACTTGACAAAATGATGTAATAACACACACATTTTGTAAAAATCTTTTAATAAAACAGCATGAACGCAATATGTCTGGTCTGAACAAGAACCACCAATTGAAGCCAAGAAAGATTGTTGGGTCTCATTCCCAGGTTGTCAAATATCGACACTGGGAATGAGACTTAATCAATTATCTTCAAGCCACCAACCCAAAGTGTCGTTCTATCTTTCTTGGCTCTGATTGGTTGTTTTTTTATTTTTTCCAGGTGTGTTCTTGGATTCTTGCAAATGCCATTAGGAGCACTAGGAGGAGCCAGAGGGACCTTTACTTCTGTCAGGATATAGTGAACGTTTCAGCAAATATAACAAAAACATATTTTATATCTATATATTTATAAAAGTTACCTACTGCAGCTTTAAATTAGACTCTTATGACCTGTAGTGCCTCTTGGTGTTATAGTTGAATCAGATTTTAGTCTACACATGCCACATAAAAGCAGTAACAAGATCAGCTTGTTATCATTTCAGTCAGATATTTAAATATTACATATTTCTAACAGTGTTGACTACTGCAATGGTTTTTTGACAGAGCTCCCCAAAGAGACCATCAAAAAGCTTAAGCTTATTCAAAATGCAGTTAATAAAAAAAGGCAACTCCCACATTTTTTGTCACCACAATATATAATAATTTATTACAAAATGTGGGAAAATATGTTACATATATTGGGTTCAAGCTGTTAATCACAAAATGTGTTATTACATAATGCGTTGTTATTACATAATGAGTTGTTACAACTCCTGGTACAGATAAGTAGATATTTGGGGTTTTCTTTTCAGAAGATGGACAGAGATTCCCAGTATGATGTTTCAGCTTTAAAATAATCCTTCTGTGTGAAATTACAGAGTCTGGATGAAGCTATTGGAACAGATGTGAGCTCAACAGGGGGAACAAATCTTCTTCTCTCTCTTAATATGAACATTTTATTTAAATGTGACAGGGAACTCATTAATGTTTTGTTAGTTTTTAAATGCTTAATTAGCTATGACGATCAACCTTAAAGACTTAAACAGCTGTAAAATGTACACACACACACCTACACTGAGCAGTTGGTAAAGTTAATCTTAATGACTTATAGAAACGGGTTTTCCCCTCAGGGAAATTCTGAATGGTGTTCACAGTTTTCGCCAGGGTGCAGTCGGACCAGTTTCTCATATTTGTTGGAACAGCTGACTTTGACCTGCGTTTTTTTTTTTCCGTCAACAGACTAAAAGAGAAAACATTCCCTTGTCTCTCATCACCATGTTGAGAGGAACAATTATCTGAATGGCATGTAAATATGCTTGGATGTCACAGATCCGCTTGCAGATATACACAAACAATATAGCTGTTGAACTTAAGATAAACATTACAGTACAAAATACCATGCATGCTTGTATGTATGTATGTATGTATGTATGTATGTATGTATGTAGTCAGAGGCACAAGCACCACAATGATATTCTAGATTTGGCTTAGGTTTCATGGCCACTTGTCAAAGATGTAACACATGGAAACTGCCACAGCAACCCACACACATTCAGACACACTGGCCTCAATACAATTGTGAACCTTTTGACCTCTGACAGGACAGTTCTAGTACAGCTTCATCTCTGGCTGACTTTTGTCCAGGAGCAGCAACGCACGTCCAACTGTAACCACCACCACCACTGCTGCTGTTGGTGGAGTCTCAACACATTCCCACAATGAGTGTTTTTTTTTTTGTTTTGTTTTTTACAATTGGCTAGTGGACTTGCTCAAGGGCTGATTTGTGGTGATAAGTTGTACTTACATTTAGCTTCTTTTCTGTCACAGCAACAGTTCATTTCCCCTTTTCCAAAACATGGATGCATTCCATTAAGTGCTCCAGTAAGCCATGTCAGGGAGTGAGCACTCACGCACAACACCTGAACCTGGAACTGGCTCAGCTAAATGGAATGCAGCCATCGGTAATGTTATTAACTCCACCTGTGCTTTTCCTGCTGTGACGAATCAAAATGTCCACCATGAAAAGGATCTGTTCAATGCTTGATGCAGTTTATATCACAAATAAATACTCCGTATTTCTGGCTAAATAACAATAGCAGCTCATTTCTTCAACAGCAACATTTTTGTTATATTCTCTCTTTACTGCTGTCCCATTTAACCACCTGTGTGTCCACACAGGCCCCAAAATGTGCATTATTAAAGATATTAAGGTAAATTATACAAATAAACACACTTTGTAAAAGAATTTAAGAAATTTATAACTTGAATTGAATTTTATTAGATGTAATTTTTATTTAATTATAGACATTTCTTTTTTAAACATTTGTTTTTATTTTTATTTATTTTTTAAGTTTTATCTTATGTCACTTTTCATAACAAATTTTATTTCCTAATGTCAGCTGCTACCAAATGTATCCAGTTAGTAAGCTCCTGTTAGCTAAATTGTAGAATTATTTGAATCAACCACAGAGAAAGTCAGTCAGTCTGTCTTTTTAATCCTTACGAAGTTGTGTCTCTTTTAAAGAGGAACTCTGAATTAAGATCACAACCCCGCCTGGCTAGTTAGCTATGAATGTAGGTGCAGCCTTGTGAAGCTAAATGAATCAAATAGTTTTGTTTCTGTGACTATGTGACTGTGTTTGTTTACAGCAGATAGCTAGTTGATTCAGAATAACTTTGACATTATTGTTGCTCAAGCTAACAGGAGCTAACTGGCTAATAATAATTGAAATAAATTAATAATAAAGTCCTTAAGAACTTCTGTAAAGCACTGCTGTTATAAAAATAAGGAGAATTAAATAATGAGGCATTTTAACGATTTCTTACATTATTTTACAAAATATTGTGTCATTTCTATATGTTTCACAATTTATTGATTTTGTGATTTATTTAATTTTTATTTTAATAATGAACATTGGAGCTCCATACACATAGCCTACTGCTGAATTTGGTCCCATTCATTCATATTACAGGCTTATCCACTAAGTAGCTTGCACATTATTGAATATATGTGGCAATTTTACATGAAGTACATTTCCCCACGGATTTGAAACTGGCTGAAACTAATTACTATTTAAATTATTGATTGATTAATTGAAAATAGTATTTGCCAATCATTCAATTTGTTGTTTAGTCTATAAAATATCAGATAACATTAAAAAGTATCTTCAGGTGCCTGAAATAAATCCATAGATATTCAATTTACTAACACAGAAGACAAAGAAAACCACAAAAACAGCAAAATGTACAAACTGGAACCAGTGATTTTTGCTTAAAAATCAAAATCAAACAATTAATTGATTATCAAAATAGATGCTGATTCTTTTTCTGTCGATTGACTATAAATGTTTCAGCTCCCAATGCTGTTATTCCAGTCTATTAAAGTTTTATCCTCTGACATTAATATATGTCTGGTATTTTCCCATTATACCAGACATATATTTGTACACCCACACAGGTGTTTCCACTTACTCTGGCTGACAATCAGACAGTCTTTACCTCCCCATGAAAATGAGTTTAGTCATGCAACAAGTGTAAACACCTGCGTGGGTGGACCGCAGGGCCTTCAGAGCACGCAGGTATTGTCAGTATACGGTTGATTCATTTTGTTGTTAAAAGGACATTTTTTACACATTAAAGTGACACTATGTAAGTTTTGCTTAAATAGTGAAACTGTTGCTACTTGGGCTGGTTTCACAAAGGTATTTCTGATTGGTCTGTGGTGTAAGCTCTTCGTTTGGCCCTCACATTAGGCTAATGTTACAGTGCCACAAAAATAAACCTGAAAAATTACCCAGTCAGAACCGAGACCCACGTTTCCATGGTAACAGTCAGTGACACCTGCTGACCAATGGCACAAACTTCAGCAGCATTTAATAATCTTTAATCTTTTTTTCCTGTGGTCCAACAGTTTGGGATTTTCTTTCTTTCTTTATTTACATCTTCTACCATGTTTGTACATCTTCTCTGAGTCTGAATCTTTTAGTAACTGTTTTTCCCAGAAGGCAAATGTTTTTCTGTTGGAGCAAAAACAGCTGAGTGGATTCTTGATGCAGTTGCTTCACCATGTTTTTCAGTTTCTCAGAATTCACAAATTAGACAGCTTTGTGCAACGGATGAATTTAGATGACAATCTGAAGTCTTTCACTGTTAGTTACAGCTCAGTGTACCAGTGTATACCAGACCAAGTAATGCTGTAGAGGCTGTGTTTTATTGTTTATCATTTTAACTTTTCTTAACTGTATGTTTATTCTGTTGAAATTTACCAAAGTGCCAGTTTAAGATTAATTTCTTCTCAGCCTGTGATAAAAGTTGAATGTTCTTCTGTGGGTCTGAAAGGAGCTTTGATAATGTCATCTGACTTATCTTGGCTAAGGCTCAAATATCACACATTATAAACAGTAAGCCAGTTGTAATAAACTGGAATATATGTGCTCTTAACTAGTTAGGGAGGGTGTAACATAAATATGCTATTTGTTGCATTATGGGAAATGTAGGATGCACCATTTTAGACCCATACTAGGGACCAAATGTCAGGATATTCTGACCTCTGCTGCTTCCATTTTGATCATTCGCTTTGTGAGTTCCCCAGCTTCATTTAAATGCTAACTAAATTGCTGGAGTGCCCCTTTAAATTGATTAATTAATTGAATTTGATTCAATATTTGTAGTTTTGGTGAAATTACACAATTTCAAAGCTACAGATCGAAAAATAATGACTTCACTGCCAGCTAGAATATCCAAAAATGTCTTACCCACCACCTTGTGTCAATCAATGGCTTGCTTGTGCAAATAGAGTTTAATTGCAATATATACTGGTAATACATTCGTATGAATTATTAACAATAAGCAGTGTGGAAAGGAACTTTTTTTCTTGCTATTATTTTATAAACAAATCCTCACAATGTTGGGACAGAAATTATTGCTTTGCTGTACCTAATAGATGATTGTCATTTTGTTATTTTATTATGAATGTGGCCAATATCAAGTACTCAGAAAAAAAAACACTTCTCAAGAAGCCAAATGAGAAGAACAATATCGATCGTCCTCTGTATTAGAGCATGTACATCTCTTACTATATACTGGAGCAATAATGTAGCTGCATTCACTGTCTGAACATGTCTGATTCAATTAACCATTTCAATTAAAGGGTAGTTGTTGGGTTCTTATGAGTTTCACTGTGCCTGCATTTATATGCAATTATTGTGATGTCTTTAAATTGTTGAATATATTTAGTAAAAACTGAAAGAAGATTTTATCCCATTTCTTTTAATATTGTTACTAAAATGTGTATGAAATGGTAATCTCATAAAATATAATTACTTACTATAATTTTCTGGGAACTCCATTTGTCTCTTCTCTAATAGAGCAAAGAGTAAAAAAACATTTCACTCAATTGCACAAACACATAGATTTTTGAGCAGTTATTTTTGTTGCAAAAACAGCAGCGCTTCTGTGGCTTCCTCTGTTAACTCTTCATTATTCAGTAGCGTCTGAGGCTGCAACATGTGGACAGCCAACATTTTTCATCTGTACGATTTGCTTGGCTTGTGCTAAAAATTCAAACATGAGCGCTGAAAGAGGCAGCAGCCTGGAGAAGATCAGGAGGCACAACATTTTAAAAACAAATTATTGTCCCTCAAAAGCACTGTAATGCAGTTTGGTTGCTATTGCTGGGCTTAATGTTTAGAATAAAGGCGTTACAGACCACTGCTCTCTATCTCAGGGCAACATTACTGTTCCTATAAAGTGAAAAATTACTTTTTACAGAATGTAATATACACTACAGACTACTTCAGCATTGACCTCATGCAGGGGGAAACTTTTAAAGGATATGTTAAAACAATACTCACATGCTCATAGGTGCATTATGAGTTACTGGTTGCTGTAAACTACCTGGGTCTAACCCTCTAAGAAGTCATCAGTGTAAGGGGTCATTGATTGATTAACAAGATAGGAAAGGAAAAACAACACATAGCATATTTTGCTATATACAAAATTTATTTTTCAGTTGTATTTTATTTTTGTAAAATCCTCAACACTTCCTCCACTTCAGCCCTATAAAAGTTATTCAAATGAAACAACCTAGAAAGATTTGACTGCTAACAGCTCATAGATGTATGCAGCCTGTGATGAGGGGTCCCAAGTAGACATTGCCTTGTCGGGGGCTTATCAAACCAAACAGTGGCTGGGAACTACTGCTGTGGACATTTTTCCCATCCATATTGGCCACAAAGTGATCCTTTCCTACTTTGAGTCCAGTGTAAGAGATGGGGGACAAAATCTGCAGACCTCGTTCTGTGCAATAGGGTATTTACCCAAAGCTAATATGAGACTGGCAGTGAGTTGGGCTTTTTAAAAGCTCACTGTGTTACTAACAAATGGAAATTTCATACTAAAAAAAGGCTACCTTTGGAAGTAAACAGTAAAACAGTAGCAAGTAAACAGATGAACTTTTACAGAATGAAAACTGGATTTTGTCCCCCATTTCGTTTCGAGTCTCCACGTGGCAAGTATGGAGAAGAGTAGTCAATACAACAACTAATAGCTATTTCCACATACAAATTGGCATGTGAGTTTTGTATCAGGATAGACCTGTAAAAAACAAAAACTACGCCTGTCTTTTAAGATTAGCCTTTCCTGTGGACTGTCTACAGTCGCCATCAGTGCAGGGAACAAAATGAGAGCATAATGTCAGGGGTGGATGAGAAAAGTGGACCTTATGGTCATCATGTCATCCCTTTATCTCATTTTTGGACTCCAGAAAAGCAAGGCAGGACGAGAGAAAAGCACAAAATGTTAACATTTTATTTACAAAGGTTTTTTTTTGTCATACAGAAAGTAAAAATGTAGCTACAACCTTGATTTGTGCAACAGGCGGCCACACTAAAAATCATGGCTCGCTGGTTGCACAGCTGCTATAGCAATAATTTTATTGGGAAAAATAGGGAACAGAAAAAAAAATAAAATAAAGACAAAAAATGAGAAATAATAAACCCAACAACAAAAAATAATTCAACAAAATATTAAAAGCACAGACCCAAAACTAGATACCAGTCCCAAAGTCCTCACACGGGAATACATAAAGAGGGAT